CGCCCCGCGTCGCCGCCCCGCCCCGCGCCCTCTTAGCGCATGCGCGTTGAGCCGCCGGCGCCGCGCGGATGGGCCGTCTGGGCTTCCTTCTTCGCACTTTTGCGGTTTGGCGCCAATAATCCGGACTCAGGAGTCAGAGGTGATGCAGCCTGAGCCTGACGGTTTTCAAGGCGGCACTGTCAGTAGAGAGGAAAGGCTCTGGGGAAACCTTCGTGGAACCACGAACATCTTCATGAAGACCTTATGTCCAGCAGTTTACACCGTCAGCACAGGCTGGTAACGCGCCACATCTCACTTCAGCGTTTAAAGCCAACCTAGAACCTCTTCACACTGATCCCTCACGCCTACCAGTACCCCAAACACCCCTGTCTACGGGACCTAAGTTCTGGCTTTATTTACACCTGATTTCCCTATTTCTGTCAATAGTTGCCCCAGTCACTTAGATTCAAAATTATAGCCTTATATCAAAATATCTTCCCACAAGATACCTATTAGTTACAAAGGGAAAAATAGTGACTTTACAGGTGAGAAATCCGGCAGACACCACCTTAACCAAGTGGTCAAGCTTAATGTCGCTAGTGATGACAGATATTCTTATCAGATACCTCTCAATATGATGCAGGGAGCACAAAATCACTTCTGTAGTATTCTTGACAAAAATGCACAAGCTGAATTTAATTATGAGGGAGAATCAGACAAATCCAAAATGAGGGGCAATCTATAAAACAACTGGGTAGTATCTTCAAAAGTGTCAAGGTCATGAAAGACAAAGAAACTTTGAGGAACTGTCCCAGGTTGCAGGAGACTGAGGACGCATGACAACTAAAAGTAATGTGTGATCCTGGATTGAATTCTCGTCCAGAAAAAGGACATTAGTGGGAGAATTAGTGAAATTAGAATAAGATCTATAGACTAGTTAACAGTATTTTACCAATCTTAGTTCCTGGTTTTGATTATTGTACTTCAACATTTGAGGAAGTTGACGAAGGGTATACAAGAACTCTGTACTATATTTGCAATTCTTGTAAGTCTGAAATTATTTCAAAATATAAAGTTAAAAAATTAAAAATTAAAATTAAAATAATAACTACCTTGATTATGTCTCAAAATGTATAATTACAAAAGCCTATAATGTTCATTTTTTTCAAATAATCTTCTTAACAACCCTATGAAGTAGCTGGGGTGGATATTCTGGCATAAAGGAGTAAATGGCTTGCCTTGCCCAGACGAAAAAATTGTTCTGTCAGGTCTTAAACTCAGGTCTCTGGATTCCAGATTTAGTGTTGTTGTTGTTTTTTCTCTATATCAAAAACTTTGACTTTGCTGTTTTTTCTTTGCCTCTATCCATTTAATTACCAAATCAAAGCAAATATTCCTTTATACTTGCAACTTGCAATGATGTTCTTTTTTTTTTTTTTAAAGATGACCGGTAAGGGGATCTTAACCCTTGACTTGGTGTTGTCAGCACCACGCTCACCCAGTGAGCAACCGGCCATCCCTATATGGGACCCGAACGCGTGGCCTTGGTGTTATCAGCACCGCACTCTCCCGAGTGAGCCACGGGCCAGCCCCAAGCTTTTTTTTTTCCTTTTTGTCTTTTTTTGTGACCGGTAACGGGATCGCAATCCTTGGTGTTGCGCCCGCACCGTGCTCAACCAGTGAGCGGACCGGTCTCTACATGGGATCCGAACCCTCGGCGGGAGTGCCGCCACGCTCCCAAGCGCCGCACTCTACCGAGTGCGCCACTGGGCCGGCCCCTGCAATGATGTTCTTTTCTATTCCTGCTACCTTCTAGATAGGGGATTCTCAAACTTGGCTCACACTGAAATCACCTGGGGAGCTTTAATAACTACTGATGGCTGCCTCCCACACCCAGAAAATCTGATTGATTGGCCTGGGGTATGGCCTGTGCGTTTTGTTTTAAAAGCATCCCAGGTGGTTACAATTTGTAGCGAAGCTTGAGAACCTTTGCACTATAATAATTGTCGATAGAAAGAAAGGAGAGATGTTCAGAAGGTCTGGATGTCAGGAGAGACACTGATGAGAGATTTGGGAACCATCACCATATTGATGGTAACTGAAGCCACCGCAAGTAGACAACATTGCTTTAGGAGAGTATGCCAAGTAACAAGAGAAGAGATACAAAGAAATCTCAAGATAACAAAGTATTGTTAGGGAAATATTTTGAAGTGGAAAGTAAAGAAGTTGAAAGGATTTGTGACAAAATTGTGGATCAGAGTTGGGCAGCCCAGCTCAAGTTCCACCTCCTCATTAAGCTTCCAGCCCTCCTGTATCTCCCTGACACTTCAACTCTAGACCACTTTACACACACTGCCACACTATGTAACTTTTTCACATCAACCACCATACTTGGCATAGGACTAAATGTAGAGTTTAGTGATCCTCATTCACTGAAGAATTATAAAAACAACCTTCCACATTACCAATAAGCATGGGGCTCTTGGGGAAAATTTGTTTTCCAGTTGGTTCCTTCTCATTATGATTGGGGAAAGTTTTTCCTGAGACCAGGCTTTCTTAGCTAATCATGTTCCCTGGGACACTATCAGCCAGCCTTTGTTTGACTAGCTCTTTCTCTACAACTCTTTCTTTTCCAACCCCTCAGATCTTTTTTATCCTGTAAATTCGTGGGAAAACTATTGGCAAGTGGTCAGCAACCAGACCTTTGAAAAATAGCCCCATCACTTCTGCCCCACTCCTTCCAGCCCCACCCCCAGGAAGTTAATAGGAGAAAGGAATAACTGTGTCACTCCTGGCTTCCAGTTGCTCATTTTGCTCTTAAATTGGAGGTTGAAAGAAACTGGACAAAGTGTGCTGAGGAGCCTAATAGGGCTGGTTCTTTTTCTGAAAGTTCCCTATTGTGGAAAAATAAAATTATGTGTTTAATTTCTGAAACCTGATGCCTGATTTGCCTTGGCAGCCATTCTCCCAGGCTTGGCCGAGAGTCCAACAACACTAGCATACTGATTAATACCAGCTCAACTTGCTCCCTGGAGAAGAGCACTATTTACTTGGCCATTTTCTTTCTTTCTTTCTTTTTAATTGAATCATAATTAATTATACATATTTTTGGGACTCAATGTTGAGATATGTTGATCAAATCAATGTTACAAGTATATATATTGCTACAAATTGTACTTATTCTTTATGTCCCTTGTCCAATCTCTCCCTATCGCCTCTCTCTCCCCCATCCCACCACTGATAACCCTAGATTTCTCTCACTGTGAAAGAGTAATGGTTACGTGGCCGTTTTCTTAAATCTCCTTTAATTTGCCTATATTTTAGCACAACCTTATGGCTTTAAAGTGCTGTGTCTCTGACTACTGGCCCCAGTGAAGCCTCAGGGAAGACCGCTCTGCTCTATGCACTCACATCCCCATCACAAAGCATGATTTTGTTCAACTCAGTGATTAAAAATGATGTGTCATGTGTTCTATTACTTCTGGGATAGGAGAGTTCTAAGAGTACTTTTGTCCCCTGCTGTTCCTTAGGCCACTGGTAGAAAGGGAAAGGGATGATGCTTTTCAGAATTCAGACAGAGCTTTCTGACCATTCCCTCCTCCCTTCCAACCTGAACACTTTTGCATGGTGACCCTCTGGCCCACTCTGCCCCTCCCTTGTAATGCCCACAGGGATATCAAATAACAATTCTCAGAGGGGACACAGAGGACTGAGGAAAGACTGGGCCCCAGATGGTCCCTGACAGGGAAGTATAAACACAGCTGTGGTGATGGGAGCAAACCATCCTTCCTCCTCTCAGTTCCCACCCAGTAGCAGGGAAAGGCCACCCTGCCATGAGGAAACAAACAAGAAAACAAAGCAAAGCACAACCTAAAACCCTGCACGAAGGTCACCAGAAACTGGGGCTGCCGCCCAGGACTTGGTGGGGCCAAATGAAGTGCCAGACCCCTCCCTGAACACTTAGTGGCAAAGGCAGCTCCCAAGCAAGTTGAGGTCTGGACATTATAAAGCCTGGAAACATGGCTTCGTTTTTGAAGCCTTTCCATTCCTGGACACTGTATCCTCTGATCTCAAAAACCCAGCTTTCTGCCTTAAGTACTTAGCTCCTGACCCCTAGTTGCTTAGGGATCATAATAATGCATTCAATTCAGCAAGTAAGAACAGGCTTACAATAAACCCTTGTCCATGGCTGTTATAAATTTAAGCTCTGAGCCTCCAAGCCAAACTATTAGAAAGGGCTTCCTTAGCCTTTGTTAATTGCAAAATAAATAATTCCAGAAGAAAGGGATTTTCTCTTTTGGGGTTTACTTGGGTGGGATTCATGCCTTGATTTGCACATACTCTAAAAGCTCCAACCCCACAGCTAGGGTGGTGTTGCCTCTTCTTACTCTCTGGGCACAGTCAATACAGAGCTTTGATCCTTTAGGACACGCCTTTGGCACGGCCTTGCCTGGGAAGTAGCTCTCGTTGAGTGGACAGCTATGCTTTTTTTCTGGCCATCAGGGGCCTCAATTGTAAAACTGAAATGGCAGAACTAGCAAAAAATGATAACAGCCTTCTAATACTGAGAACTAACTATGTACCTGACACTGTGCTAAGTCCTTTACACAGATCATCTCACTTCATATGAAGTTGGGAATATTCTTATCCCTATTTTAAAGCTGATAAAACTAGGGCTCATAGAGATTGTAGAACTTGCCCCAGGTCATCCTGCTAGTAAGTGGTATGGCCAGGATTTGGGCCCAGTAATTCTGACCCTCCAACCCATGCTCTGAACTGCTCCACCATACCACCTCCCTTCTCTGAGATCTTCTACCTCTGAAATCATGATTCTGGATTCTCTCCATGGCTTTCTGCTCTCACCAGTGGTGCCAGAAAGAGAACTTGTTTGGGACTCTAGTCTGCAAGTCCAGAGAAAAACAGCTCCTGAAAGTTAAGGGGCTCCTTACTTCCTCTGTACTGAAGATGCCAATCTAAGCTGGATACTCAATAGAACCCTGTATCAGCAGGGAACAGCCTGTGTGGAAGAAAAACAAATTCTAGCCAGACAGGAAAGGGGAGTTCCCCTTGATTCTGTGACTTCCCCTTCTCTCTTTCCTGGCTTATCAGCAGAGTCCCACACTGTTGATGGTATGTCCTTTTGAACCCCACTGTGGCTAGGATGGGACACCAGACTACAAAGAGCTCTTTGGAACAAGAGAAGTGGCTACTCTATTCATAATATGTACATCTACAGATTATATTCATGATACTGTATGTAAAGGAACAAAAATAAAACATTTTTATTTATACTTTTAACAACTTGCCTTTAGTATTCATAATCACTAGACATTGCACCAGGTATGAATCCCATGTAATCCTTGCAAGAGGCCTGGGAGGCAGATACTGTTATTCCCATTTTTACAGGAAAGTCACTGAGGCTCAGAGAAATTGACAACATTGTCCATGGCCACATGCTGTTAAGAAGGGGAACTGGAATTCAAACGCAAGCTAGGTCTGTCTAACTCCAAACTCTGTATTATTTTCAATAAAAGGAGTGTTGGGGCTGGCCAGTTAGCTCAATTGGTTAGAGTGTGGTGCTGATAACACCAAGGTCCAGGATTTGAGCCCTATACCAACCAGCCAGCCACCAAAAATAAATAAATAAAATAAAAATTAAGAGTACTGCATATTGAAAATAACAAAATAATGAGACTGGAATGATCCCAGAATATCTTGGAAATAAAGTTGTAATACTATATGTGTTACATATTATGGTAGTAACTTCCATTTATCACATGCTTACTAGTGCCAGGCATTGGGCCAAATGCTTTACACGTGTTACCTCTACTGCTCAGTGAGACACCCACTATTAATTACATTTTGCAGATAAGAAAACAAGCTCGGAGGAGTTAAGTGACTTGCACAAAGTCACATACAGTTAAATAACAATGGAGCTGAGATTCAAACCCAAGTCTACTTTGACTCCAAAGTGTGTGCTCTTAACCACCAAGGCAATAATAATAATAATAAAGGTACAGTGACTATGGGCCAAGTTCTGTTTTAAGTGCTTTATATGTTTTGTTTTATTTTGTTTTGTTTTGTTTTGGCAGCTGGCTGATATGGGTATCCAAACCCTTGACTGTGATGTTATAATACCATCCTGTAAACAACTGAGCTAACCACCTAGCCCAAGTGCTTTACATCTGGTAATTTATAAATATTATTATCATCTCCATTTTACAGATGAGGAAAATATTGCCTTTTATAATATTACTGAAGATCACATTACAGACACCACACATTAAACACACATGCTATTAGTGTCCTATTTGCCTAACACATGTTGGATCCTTGTTATGATCTACAAAATGATTTATTTCATAATGTCATGGATTTTTCTCATTGTCTATCTAATGCACAAAAGTCTTGGGGGAAAGGATGTGAAAAGATTCTCTCTATAGGTGAAGCAAACATAGTCAGGAGTGAGCAGTACTGGGTGGGAAAGGCCCGCTGTGCCAGGAGGAGCCCTTTCAGTTGCCCTTCTGGCCAGCCTTCCTCATCCTTTCTATTTGAATCTAATCTAGCAGTTTGGCTACCTTCAGATATTGTAGAGCAGAACTTAAGTGCTCAAGCTTCACTATCCAGCAGACCTGGTTATCTGGCAATATGAATTGCATGAACTTGGAAAAATTACTTAACCTTTCTGAGCCTGTTTCTATGTCTGTAAAGTGGCTTGCTATGATATGTAATTTAATAGAGTTGTGAGTTTTAAATGAAACAATTTGTATGAAGCACTGAGCATACTGCCTGGCATCTTCAGAGCTTGGTAAATGAATATGCGTGTATCCTATGTTATACAACATCTGGGCTCCTAGGGTGCTGCCACAGAAACATTCCTGGGGATGGTTTCACAGGACAGCCCTGAGGAATGAGAGGAGGAAGAAAGCAATCCTGGCATCTGGCATTGTGTCTTGACAGCAAACATGAGTCAGCCCCAGGTGCTGAGGGACTAGCCATGTTCTCAGCACTGTTGGGCGTGTGCTGTGGTCACTTGGCCACGGTTCTCTTCAGTCACAGTGTCTGAGTGTTGTTCCTGTAAATCTGGCCTGGGTTCTTTTTAGAAAAACAGCTTCTACCATGTGATGTCATCATCCAGCCTGGGTCAGGGAGGAAAGGCGGAGGAGGTTGTACACATGATCTAGGGATCTTCTCACTCCTGGAGAAGTCAATTTGATCCTGGAAGAAACTCTCCATCCTTCTCTGCTTCTTTCAAGACTTAGTAAAGAATCAATATTCTGACCTGGAGTGGGAGGGAGGTGATAAATCATAATGATTAAGACATGAACCTTAACATCAAGCTATCCTGGGTTCAAATGCTGGCTCTGCCAATTACTAACTCTGGGACCTTATACTCTCTGCTTCTTTTTCCCCATTTCACCCATGGAGAAGATAATTCTTGTGTTATGGTGGTCAGGCTTTAAGCCATGCATGAATAGCATACAGCACATGTGTCAGAAGGCACACTATGCAGCACACAGTAAGTGTTCAATAAATGGCAGCTACTATTAAGTCCCCAGCAGTTGATGAGTAATATGGCTTGATCATTTTCTCTGCTTTTTACCTGCTCAGGAGTAAAAGTGTTCTCCAACAACCATTCTTCCCTCTGAGAGGTAGTCAGCCTCCTCATATTGGGTGAACCATCATTCTGGAGATGAGGAGGCTGGGGAGAGAGAAAGTAGTTGCATCCCTACCCCTTTGCCTTCCCTCCCTTAGCCAGCTGGTTCTTTGGCTGTAGCTTCTCTGGTTCTCCCTGCTGCCTCCCTTATATCTTATATCTTGTCTTGTGCTCTGCTCTTTATTTTGCAGACAGCTAGGGAAGAGGCTAGCATGTGTGAATGTCTCTATACCATAGAGATGCTAATTGCAGGATGCTCCACATATAATTACTCCCTCTTGTGTTGTTCTGGATTTGTGTGGGTAGGTGGGGATGAGGGGGGAGGTTGAAGATTAGAATTGGTACTCTAAGAGTCGAGTTACCTCTTCCTCTGCTTCAGGAAGATAGCCCTTGGCCTGTAACACAAAGGGAAATTTACATGGCAGTAGGATCCCTGTTCAGGAGAAATCAATCTACATTGGGGCCAGAAATCTCATGACAATGTCCAGTTGGAGCAGAACCAGATCCCTCTCTTCCCAAGCACTGGGTGGTGAGGGAGGAGGGAGAGGAATAAGGTCATGCATAAGAACCTTAAAGACTAGACTTCACTGGATATAGGGAAATAAAAACTGAAGACAATACTATGCTACAGTTAAAAGGAAAGAGGTATATCTACATGTAGTAGCATGGAAAGATATCCAAGACATATTAGCAAGTTTTTTAAAAAGCCACCGAATAATAAGGATATTAAATCCCACTTATGCTTTTTTCTTTTTTTTTCTCTTTTAACTCTGAAATATGTGGGAGGCTGGTTGGTTAGCTCAGTTGGTTAGAGTGCAGCCTTATAAAACCAAGGTCATGGGTTCAGATCCCCATGCCAGCCAGCTGCCAAAAAAAAAAAAAAAAAAAAGGGGGGGGGGGG